GGGGGGAGTGTCAATGCAATACTATGAAAATATCTCTCACATTCTAACAGACTGGAAGTTTTGCTGGACCTCACACCTTGAGATCACTTAAGACAGCTATCCTACTGTGTACTCAACGTGTTTGCTTAACCTGCCTTTAAGAAAAGAATGTAACAACCAACCTTTCTTGCCTTGGATTTCCCATGTAATCAGCTGTTACAACCCAAGCCAATGTACTTTACTCTTAAGTTATGTACTCTTCCATGCCCTGACCCAAGAGTAAAGCATGTGTGTTGGCATGTGTGTTATGATAATCATTTGATGGAAACAGCAAGTAGGTGGAAAATGAGTATTTACCATTGTGGTGGTTTGAAAGAAAATGGCCCTCAAAGGGAATGGCACTATTAGGAGGTGTGGCCTTGTTGGAGGAAGTGTCTCACTATGGGGGTGGGCTTTGAGGTCTCTTTTGCTCCAGCTTCACTCAGTATGACAGTCAGTCCACTTCCTGTTGCCAGCACCATATCTGCCTGCATGCTCCCACCATGATGAAAATGGACTGAGCCTCTGAAACTGTAAGCAAGCCACTCCAATTAAATGTTTTCCTTACAAGAGTTGGCATGATCACGGTGTCTCATCACGGAAATAGAAACCTAACTAAGACAACCATAAATGTTAGAAGCAGCATTTTTATATTGCTTGATAGTGTTTGTTTCTTATCTAGGTCATTTGGGGTTGGTTGGAGTCAGTGACTTAATCCTTTGTAAAACTCTGTTACAGATTTCTATACACTATCCCTCATTCCTTCCCCATGTGATACTTTCTGTGCTGTTCAAAAAAAAAAAAAAAAGAATGAGCAAAGTCCTTTGTGAAGGACAGACACACTGGGACAGGAACAGACTCACAAGATGGCCTTCGGGCAAGCACAGATTCAGACTCAGAGAAACAGACAGAGAAGACGCAGGGAGCCTGAAGCAGTGGGTTCAAATTCTTGGTTAAAAGACACCACACTGAGGGAAAGTGTTGTGATTTCTTTCCTTAATGTGACACCATCTTAGTTGCTGCTCTATTCCTGTGAGGAAACACTATGACCAAGGCAACTCTTATACAGGAAAGCATTTAATTGGAAGCTTGCTTACAGTTTTAGAGGGTTAGTCCATGATCACAGTAATGGGAGTGTGGCAGCAGGCAGTCGTGGTGCTGAAGAAGTAGCTGAGAGCTTTACATCCTGATCCACAGGCAGGAGAGAGAGAGAGAGAGAGAGAGAGAGAGAGAGAGAGAGAGAGAGAGAGAGACCTGGCAAGCCCACACATTGTGACACACTTCCAACAAGGTCACATCTCCTCTGACACATATACTCCTAATCCTTCCCAAACAGTTCCACTAACTGGGGACCAAACATTCAAATATTTGAACCTATGGGGCCATTCTCATTTAATCTCTCTCTCTCTCTCTCTCTCTCTCTCTCTCTCTCTCTCTCTCTCACACACACACACACACACACACACACACACACACACACTGATGCATTATTGGTGACACTGACTCTATTATTAATGCTTTCAACCCAATGCAGAAGAGATTCTAGAGAAAACATAGAGGAGGAGGAACAACTGGAAGCCATTAGCCTACCTGGGCTTGATTCAGCCAAGGGAGCACGCTCAAAAAGCCCTCACAAATTTACTGAATGGGTACTATGTAAATGACCCTCAAAAAGTTATGCAGCCCTTCCCCTGGCCCTCTCTCTTAAGAGCCAGAGCACAGGCCAGGTCTCACATACCTCCATACTCCTCTGTATTTCGCTAGACACTACCCCTTCCCTGTAACTGTCACACCCCCACAGCTGCCCTCTGGACTGAAATCCCCTGTGACAAGAAGAGGGGCCAGGGAGACCCAGGTTAGGGGTGGAGGGAAACGCTCGAGAAAAACGTTTGCTAAGGATTTCGGGTCCTCCAGAACCACTGCCCAGGTTGTCGGCCTTTTCCTTCAAGTCTTCAACAGATGGAATGTGGAGGGAAGAGATGTGACAGCTTGAAAAGAGAGTGAGGGACCAGCTCCCCAAGTTACGGAGGAGAGACGAAGTCCGGAGAGGAGAAAAGCGAGAGAGAGTTGGGGGGACCAAGACTCAGTGGGAGAGAAGGCTCCCTCGACTCTGTTCCCTAGGCAAGTGCCTGATTGGGCCAACATGCCCCAGTTCATAAGAGAAGGATATCCTGGCCCACAGGGAGGGGAAACTGAGGTAAGGTAATCAGAGGGACAAATCCAACCCTGAGTCCCCTTGAGGATAGACTTGTAGTGCTGAGAAATCATTCCTTGGGACTTAGCTGTACTAAGTGTTGGCCTCCACATTCAGAATGGATCATAGACCAATGTCAGACATGTGAAGAGGAGACCCTCAGACTAGCCTGGCGACATGATCAGGTATGTCCCTCATCAGATGGTCCCTGTCCATTATTGTTCCACGAGGCAGAGACAGAACTCTGAGAGCTAGGGCCTTATCCACTCAGCAAGGCAGAAGACAACTGGGTCTCACTATCTATCTATCTATCTACCCATCTATCTAATCTCCTCTCCCTCCCTCCCCTCCCTTCCTTCCTCCCTTCCTCTCTCTTTTCCTACCTCCCTCCCCCCCCCCTTGCAGCTAACTAGCCCGCAGCAAACAGCTAAATATAGTCCCTTAGTCTTTCACTCCTAAGAACTGTCCATCAACATTAATTTCTCAGCTCAGTCATTCTCGCCATGAGCAGCTGCTGCTCCTGGAATGCTGCTCTGAGCTGAACTCTGGCCCATCTTTGCTGGGGCGGAGAAAGTACAGCTTGAAGGGGCAGCCTTCGGGAGTGTGGAACCAGCATGGACTTCGCAACCAGAGACTAGAGCTTGAGCTTTGGCTTTGCCACTTCCTAGCTGTTCATCCTTAGGTAAGCTGCCAGATCTCTGAGTCCTCTTGTCTTCATCTATACGATGGGGCTAACCTCGCATCGCTCGTAAGACTGTTCGGATGGCCGATCACGATAATAGATACAGGGCTTCTAGCCGAGGCCTGGCTTGGGGCAGGGATGAACAGCTATTTGTTCACTTGCCTTTATGGAAAGCAATTTATGGCCGGGCGGTGGTGGCGCACGCCTTTAATCCCAGCACTTGGGAGGCAGAGCCAGGCGGATCTCTGTGAGTTCGAGGCCAGCCTGGGCTACCAAGTGAGTTCCAGGAGAGGTGCAAAGCTACACAGAGAAACCCTGTCTCGAAAAACCAAAAAAAAAAAAAAAAAAAAGACTTCAGAGGAAAGCAATTTATGCCTGCCCCACAACAGAATAGAATCTAGAATTAGGCTGTCTAATAGTGGTTTCATTGAGGTCTCAGATCAGTTATATGCATAGTTTCTGTCCCTGACTTTACTCTCTGATGCTACGTAGCTGTCATACGTGCTTCCTGGGGAACCAGATACCCCATCCCCATCCCCACCATCCACACACATTTGAAGCCAAGCAAGCTCAGAGATAGATAGTTGATACATGCAACATACAAACTCTTACCATGCCAATTCACACACAAGCATTCCCAGATGCTCACCAACACAGAGGTCAGGTACATCCAGCTATTCAAAACTGCACATGCAGACTCAACCTGAAGCATACCAGAATGGATACAAATGAGGCCTCTGATACACACGCTGTGTGGACTCACAGAGACACAAGTGCACAAACACACAGGCCCAGGCAGCCATGTACATGCAAGAATACACACATATTGGCTGGCTCTGTGCAGGTACACTGTCCCGTTGGGTGATAGAAGCCTGAGGCATGGAGGCCTAGGTCCATGGAACACAGAGCTCTAGCAGGAATGCCTGAAACACAGAGCCTTAGCTTGGGTCCTGCCCTCCCATCCTGGGCCAGGCTTGGGCTCTGGTGTGTGAAGAGGCTTTGGCGCCCTCTGCTGACGACAATGTTGCCTGCAGCCTACTTCAACCGTGGGGTGAAAGACTGCAAGCTGAAGATGCCTAGGATAGGGAGAGGACAGAAAGGGGGTGAGGAATGGGAAGAGAACGTGGGAACACTTTGTTCCCAAAGGCACCGGGATTAAGGTCCACTTACACCTATCAACTCCTCAGGCTCAAAATTGCCTTCTGGAGACTTCTGGGGGGCACAGTGAGCAGTGTGACAGACTCAGGCCTCAGGCTGCAAACTCAAACAGCAGAACTGTATCCTGGTCCAGGCACCTTTCCGCTTCTTCCAGGAAAGCCAAACCCTGGCCAGACTGTCAGTCCTGACAGAACATATGGACAAGGAGCCAGACAGACACAGGGACCTCCCTGCCCACCACTAGCTACGTGATTACCTGTGTCCTCATCTGTAAAGATCAGGAAGCATGTGGTTGCCACAAGAGTGAAATAACAGCCACACAGTAGTTCTACCATAAGTGGGGCTATTATTATGATCATGTTGCCTTGGCCGTGGGCTTTACAAAAGGTGAAGGGTGGAGTTTTGTCCCAGGCCCTGCAAGATAGGTGGGGTGGACAGTGTCACATGTCTGCAGAAGGCCACAGTGTCACATTGCCAGAATTCTGCTGGGAGTACCAGCCATAGCTGGCTAACACGGCTCCTGTGCAGGGCTCTTCTCTCTCTCTCTCAGTTGAGGTTGCTGCCTGGGCTGCTCTGCTCACCCGGGTCCGTGCATCTGGCCCAGACTCCACCAAGAGGTGGTCCCAGAGAGGCACTTCTTCCCCTTGACAGGACCTAAAGTTACTGGAAACAGCCGGTGGCCATGGACTAACCCAGTCTGTGAAGAAAAGCAGCAAGGAGAAAAATTAAGAAGCCAGCAGGATATGCTCAGTTCCCTTCGTCTTTCTTGCTGGGTGATGGGGATCCGGGTGACATCTGACATTGAGGCTGCATCCTACAACTCTGTTGTCACCTTCGGCTGTTGCAGGAGTCCCCTCTCACTCCCCAAACCTCTTCTCCCACCATCGTCACCCACACTGTCTCAGTCACTGTTCCATTGCTGTGAAGAGACACCACGACCAAGGCAACTCTTATAAAAGAAAGCATTTAATTAAGGGCTGGCTTACAGTTTCAGCGGTTCAGTTCATTATCATCATGGTGGGGAACGTGGCAGTGTGCATGATGCTAGAGCAATAGCTAGATCCTAAGGCAGAGAGAGAGAGAGAGAGAGAGAGAGAGAGAGAGAGAGAGAGAGAGACTGGCTTAGTGTGGGCTTTTGAACCCTCAAAGCCCACCCCCCAGTGACACATTTCCTCCAATAAGGCCACACCTCCTAATCCTTCTAATCCTCCTCAAATAGTACCACTCCCTGATGACTAAGTAATCAAATACATGAGCCATTCTTATTCAAACTACCACCTGTACCCTTGCTCACACTGGAGCTGGTTAACCCCCACCCCAGCTGCACAGCCCAAAGCCACGGAATTCTGATCTAGACCATCCTTCCTCTCCTTCTAGGCTTCTCTGAGACTGGGGAGGAAACAGAGCCATATGGCTGTCTTGTTTTGAGTAGAGGGTCCCTGTTTCTCTGGCTGTTTCCCTTCATGCTCTCTGTGACTTGTGACTTTCATGTAGAGCCCATGAGAGAGGTGAGGACACCAGTGACTCCAGTCAACTACTTCACAAAGCACTCTCTTTCCCCTGGTCATCAGTCCCCTGTTTCCTCTGACTCCTGCTCAGCAAGCTCAGAGGTCTAGCACCAAGTCCCTAATTTAGCAGCCCCACCCAGGGAACGAGGAACATGTCCCTCCCTATAGGAAATGCTCTGTGACTACAGGGACCCAGTCCTACTTACATAGCAAGGGGAGCAAGCGGCCACTGCCCGAGCCCTGTTCTGCACTCTCCATGTGTAAATACTAAATACTGTTAACTAAATGCTAAATCCTATTAAGTACTGTAAAATACTGTTGGGCTGCTTCCCAGGCCTGCTCCCGTCCTTGTCCTTTCAGAAGTGATACTAGGGACCCTCTAGTAGCCCACAGGTACCTCTGAATGCCCAGGGCATGGCGCCTCAGGGTTTGTTTGTTTTGCAGCTTCGGCACTCAGCTTCGGGTCCCAGCTGCAGTTCTGGAACAGGAGGAAAAGTCCAGCACAGAGACATTCCTCATGCCACAGTCCAGTCCCACAAAGCCCTCTCCAGATCTGCAGAGACCCCCTCCTCTAGACCTCACTGCTGCTGGTGAGAAGCCTGCACCAGCAGGGGGAGCCAGTGGGCTTGGAAGCCAGGGGTGAGCATTCCCATGCCAGGACTGTGAAGACGCTACCAAGATGGGCAAGGTCTGGACTGGAGCATGCTTTCCATTGTCCTCTAGGATGGAGGCATGGTTCCTGTTTCTGAGACAGAAGAACTGTGTCATGAGTCATAGGTGAGACCCTGGTAGAATTTACTGTCCCTGAGGTAGGAGCCAGGTGGTGGAACACTGTGCTTGCTGAGACCACATCATCTGGCGGTATCTCTTGGGACTGAGCTCAGTGTTTTGAAGGAGCTGACTGGGAAGTCTGAGAGTGAGGACCCACATGGCTGATATATCACTGTAACCATGGCTGAAGACATGCTCCAGACATGACCACTCTAGACCACTCCTGAGATGGGTTCCTTCCAGATACCATGTTCCTCCTTCCCTGGAAGAGAGAGCACAATTCTAGAGGGACTGTAGCCTGGCAACTTGGGACACTGGGCACACGGAACTGGCCCTGCTAACAGGTAAGATGCCTTGCTGAGCTGGCCCCTACCACCTTCCACCCTTAATTCCAAGCTTAAGCCCTAAGCTGGTGATGGCACTTGGAAGTCCTTACATGAAGTGAAGGAAAACAGGGGTATGTTCACATACACACACACACACACACACACACACACACACACACACACACACCCCACAGGTCAGTGCTGGTGAGGAGCTAAAGACATATGTCTTGTATGTCACAGCCATCTGGTGCTATGTGGTTCTGTCACCGGTCCTTTAGTTTAAAATACAACAGGACAGCTGGAAAAAGCACTAGATGGATGGGATTCTGCAGAGCTCTCTTTCCCAAACTTCAACAGCCGCCCCCGCTTCCTAGTTTTGCACAGTCCCTGCACTTTGGGGGGAAATTGTAAACATTTTTAAAAGACTTTTTTATTTTCAGTGTGTGTGTGTGTGTGTGTGTGTGTGTGTGTGTGTTGCATTGGATCCTCTGGAACTGAAGTTGCAGACAGTTACGTCCATGCCAGGTGGGTGCTGGGAACTGAACCTGAGTCCTCTGAGCTATCTCTCCATCCCTGAAAAAAAAATCATAGAATGTTATAAGTGCTTATCTTTAAAGGAGGATTGTATAGAAGAGCAAGCATACACCTGCACATATAAACACACACACACACACACACACATACACAAATGCTGGGAGCCTTTGAAAAGATTCTTATCATGAAAGGAGATAGGTGTGTCTTTCAAAGTGAGGCAGACCAAAGGGACCCACCTCTCCTCTTGGTCAGGGAGTTAGTTGAATACTGTCAAGTACTGTGAAATACTATTAGAATTGTTAGGTCTGTTTTGGATTTCCATTAAGTCTTTATTGCAACACACTTTTAAGCTTTTTAAGAATGGCTAAAACAGTCAAGAGCAGACATTTGACAGGGCCTTCCATTACGCCTGGTAGCCTTGAATGGGGAGCTGTCAGTCAAGCAGCTTTACTGGCAACCAGCCAGACTACCATAAAGGCAGCCTGGCAGCTTGGGGCATTTACAATCACTCTGAGGTTGCTCTAACAGCTGCAAGGACCACTGAAGACATGCTCCAGTCATGACCACTCCAGACAGTCTCTATAGGCTTTGAAAGGCAGAACTTTAAGACGAAGGTCTGTGAACTCTAAATGGCCCTCTAGCCATATTCACCTAAGCTAGAGGGAGTACACCTTCCCCGGAGGTCCAGCAAGAAGGCTTGTGATTGGTGCACTTTACAATCCTGTATTTCCATGAAGAGCTGTGCCATGATTGGTACAAAAATCATTGCCACACTCTCCTTCTTGCTAGTTCTTGTTCAGTTCATTTTAAATTTTTATCTATTGTTTATTTGTGTGTGTGTGTGTCCATGAGTGCATGCGCATATGTGTGCAGGTGCTAGCTGAGACCAGAAGAGGGTGTCAGGTCCCCTGCAGCTAGAATTCAGGCAGATGGGAACCTCCTGATGTGAGTGCTGGGAACCAAACGCTTCAGGAAGAGCAGCCCATCTTATTAATCAAGAACCATTTCTCCAGCCCCTCGGTTTAGCTTTCAAGTCAGCTGTCGACAGCTTCCCATGCCACCCCAAAGTTGCAACATTATGCCCATTAAAAGGCTTTCCTCGAGCGTTTTGTTGTTGTTGTTGTTGTTGTTTGTTTTTGCCTTGCTTATTTTTGTCTTTATCACTGGGAGAGCAGGCTGAGCCAGAACACAAAGAAGAGACAAGAACACAAAGAAGAGACATAGCAGTGCTCTTCTGCTGCGGGGGGCGGGGGGAACGGGACACGACAGCAGCCGTGAGCAGTGGGGGTGGCAGTGGGGGTGGCAGTGGCTGCCCGCGCAACAGCAGTGTTAAAATGGTAGACATGGTGGGCCCAGGAAGGCAGAAGAGATAAGGGGTCACAGAAGCACAGAGAAGGGAAGAGAGGGCTGGCAATAGGACTCAGTGGGTAAAGGTGCTCGCTACCAAGTCCGCCAACCTGAGTTGAGTTCAGTCCGGGTTTACAGGGCAGAAGGAAGGAGAGCACTGACTCCAATCACTTGTCCTCGGACCTCCACACTCCGTGGGTGCCCCTGCTCCTGCCCCCTCCACACTCTGTGGGTGCCCCTGCTCCTGCCCCCTTCACACTCTGTGGGTGCCCCTGCTCCTGCCCCCATACAACAAATACTTTTATTTAATTCTGAGAGAAAACAGGAGAGGCAAAGAACCAAGCTGTAAGAGAGAGAGAGAGAGAGACAGCTGGGAAGGGTCAGAGGTAAGATGATGTACACTCCCGTCACCGGAAGAGTTCCCAGGAGCTGCCCAAGCCTTAAGGGCCAAAGATCCCAATGCTGTAGACCTGAAAACTCCATTGGAGGTGGTGGGAGCCAAGGGTCCCAACACCCAAGGCCCACCGGGAGCTGTAACACTAGCAGGGTCTACCCAGATATTGCAGTCAACATTCCGATAGTTGCTAGCAGTTAAATTAGCCTCCAACTTGTGTAGCCAGAGGGGGGGCTCTGACTCCCAAAGCCTGGAGCTGCTGGCCTGAGGCTCTCAGGGCTTGGAGGTGTAAGTCCCTCAACTGGTGCCCAGCTCACAGACACTGGACTTGCCCACCAGAGAAGGACAGAGGGGAGGAGACTCTCCTTGCCTATCCACCATCTCTGTCTGGGTGGAGCAGAAGACCCCTGCCAACTAATGGGGGACCAACAGGCAAAGGAAAACAATTTCAAATGATTTATCACGAAAATATAAGACCTTTCAGATGGCGTCTGCTCAGGCCGTTCTGTGACTGAGGACTGAGTGTTGCATTCCAGAAGAGAAAGGAGGCTGCCGGCTGAAAGGCAGGTAAAACCAGAGACAGGCACGGGGAGGGCCAGCAGGAGCCTGCCATGAAGCTGCAAAGGCAGCTGGGGGATTTAAAACTCCATCACGATTGCAAGGAGCAGAACGGAAAGGGCAGAAAATTGAATCTGAGAATGTGGAGCACCGATATGAGAAATTCGCTGAGAAAACAAAAGAGAAGCCCAAAGGGATAAAAAGCGAAGAGAAAAATCTGATAAACAAAGCGAGAACCAGGAAGACCAGAGAAAAAATAACATTCCTGAGCTGATGGAAAAAGCTAGAGCCTGAGCATTGAAAAGTTCCTTGTCTTCCAAACCAAACTGATCAAAGGACACGAACAATAGCTGGGCGCAGTGGCCCTTGCTTATAATCCCAGCGCTCAGAAAGCAGAGGCAGGAGGATTGCTGCAAGTTGGAGGCCAGCCTAGTCTACACAGTGAGTTTGACTCTACAAAAAGGAGAAGGAAGAGGAAGGGGAGAAAGAACTTACCAGAAAAATCTCTTCTAATTTCAATGGCAAAGAAATAATTCCGTCAGCACCCATGTAGCAGGTAACATAGGGAAAACATCTACAACATTTCTTTTCTTTTTTGGGGGTTGAGGGGGGAAGGTGGAGGCAGCAGGCTCTCTTACCCTGTAGCCCTGGTTGGCCTGAAATTCAATAAGTAAACCAGGTTGGCCTCAGACTCATGGAAATGCATCTACCTCTCTGCTTCCCAAGTGCTGGGATTAAAGGCGTTCCCCACCATGCCTGGTTCTACAACATTTCTTAAAATGTATAGTTGGGAGAGAGATTCCACAGAATGAATTTGGGAAATGCTAAATGAAGCAAAACAAGACCAAATTCTCCACTGAGGCTTTCTCGGGGGTTTTTAAACCCCAGCCCACATGTTACTAAATTGCCAGTGTAGAGAACAGTCCTCCAGACTAAGCTGACTCTAAAATCTGCTTTTACACTTCAGGCAAGAGGACCAGTGCTCAGGGCAGGGCACTCCGATAGCCCTTCTGCGCAGAATTTTGAGGGTTTACTGTTGGGATGTAAAATGCTAACAATTTGCCAGGTGTATTGATGAATAAAAACAACAAAGCAGGACTTTCCTACATGCCAGAGTGTAAAGTCTATGTCATGAATAGTTCTGTCTTTAATGGGGAGAAAATACAGCTTCGTTCTTAGTTAACAAGCAAGAATCCAAATAACTAAAACCATAGTAACAAAAACAATCCGGTGGGAAATGACTATATAAAAGATCTGGAGATGCCGGGCGGTGGTGGCGCACGCCTTTAATCCCAGCACTTGGGAGGCAGAGCCAGGCGGATCTCTGTGAGTTCGAGGCCAGCCTGGGCTATCAAGTGAGTTCCAGGAAAGGCGCAAAGCTACACAGAGAAACCCTGTCTCGAAAAACCAAAAAAAAAAAAAACCAAAAAAATAAAATAAAATAAAAAAGATCTGGAGATAAATGTTACAAACCTGCTGAACACATGAGTTTGTCAAGGGGTCAGATCCACACCTGAGCCACACATCCTTTGCCACCAGCCCTGCACCACAGGAGGCTGACACGTGTGAATCGCATCTGTCCCCTGGGGCCCTGGTTCCTTAGCTTCGGATGGGTTTGATGTGGGAGGAGAGGAGGTGTGCTGTGTTCTGCCTGCCTGCTTGGGTGTCCTGTCTCCTGGGCAGTCAACAGCTTTGTCCCGTCACAGCATCGGCCCTTCCTTGAACCCCAAGCTTGCAGTTAGCGCTTCCTGGACTCCAGTCCCATTGGCCCCTTCCCTGGTCCCTAAAGGCTTAGGCACTGTGACGTGTCCCACTGTTGATGGTCTCCAAGTGTCTTGCCATCTCTTCTCTGCTCCCTTATCCTGAAAGGCACTAGTATAGCCTGCTCCTTTGTTAAGGTCTCGTCAGTTAAACTGTTGTTGGTGGGTGTTTCTTGACAGAACCCTGCCCCAAAGATTGGTTGGTTCTTTCTATAGTGTTGGAATAAGCCTGATACTAAAACCTAATAAATGGCACACAGCACAGAGTGAATGAATGAGTCATACATCAATCTCATACACCAAGTCTCATTCACTGGGATGCCAAGTTCTAGTAAGAACACAATCAGATTAAGTTCAACCTATATCCAACAATACATGGAAAAAATACACTCAGCAAGCATTGCTGCGAAGCACAATGTTTCCATAGGGGACTTCGGAAAACTGATTTATCTCTGCCATAGGTCAAAAGAGAAAAGACGATCTCTCATGCTGAGTAAAAGTTTGGTAAACTTAACTATTTCTACTCGTTCAGTCAAAATATACTTATCTCACGAAATGTGAACTATAATAAATCTCTGGTGGGGAGACATCTCTGTCAGTGAAGAGCTTACCATGCAAGTGTGAGGATATGAGATTGATCTGCTAGAACTCATACAAAGAAGCCAGCCATGGCAGTGTGAGCCTGCAATCCCAACCTGGAGGACACAGAGAGAGGAGGAGCCCCGGGACTTGCTGGCTGGCCAACCTGGCCAAATTTGTGAGCTCCAAGTTCAGTAAGAGATCTTCTCTTAAAAAATAAGGTGGAAAGCTGGGAGTAGTGGCACACGCCGTTGATTCCGTGGATCTCTGTGAGTTCAAGGCCAGCCTGGTCTAGGGAGAGCTGTATCATGAGACCCTGTCTCAAAAAAGGAAGAAGAAGGAAAAAGTAGAGATGGCAGTTAAAAGCACTGGCTGCTCTTGCAGAGGACCAGGATTCAATTCCCAGCACCCACCTGGTGGCTTACAACTGTAACTCCAGTACCAGGGCCTCTGACACCCTCTTCTGGCCCCCAGAGGCACTGCATGTACACAGTGCACAGACATACACGTTAGCAAAACACTCAAACATATGAAATAAACATACATAAATCTTAACAAAAAATAAGGTGGAGAGTGACCAAGGAAGACACTAAATATAGACAGATCTCTGCCTCCACATACACACAGACATGTGCATGCACACCTATTGCACACACACATATACACACAGACGAATACAATAAATTTCAAACTGATGGCTAACACCAACAGAATGAGAACCAGGAAGGGTTCCAGTTAAATGCAAGATGCTTTCAGTCATCTTGTTATGTAATTATGTACATACTGTTCAGAAGGTCCTACTTAATGCAATTAGGACATAAATGAAAAGACTGGGGAGCAATTATCTGTAAATATGGCTGCTGTGATACTGTGAAATATCTACTTGGTCACCCTCCATGTTTCCTGCCTCAGAACCCCTAAGACCCCCAGGATTTCCCAAGTGATATGTTTTTGGTGTGATAATGGGTTGCTGGTGGTTGGGCCCTTAGGAAGCTTCAGGATGAGAACTGATCACTGGGAAGAACCAAGCATGATGGACGTTGATTTTCACCTCCGCCTGCCAATCTCCTGGAGAGAAGCTGAAGGTTGAGTTGATTGCTGATGGTCATATCTACATAATTAAACTTCCATGAACCCCCTCCCCAAATACTGGTTTTGGAGGGCTTCCAGTTGATGGTCATATCTACATAATTAAACTTCCATGAACCCCCCTCCCCAAATACTGGTTTTGGAGGGCTTCCAGCTGGCTGACCATGTGGAAGTTCCTAGAGGGTGGTCTGAGAATGAATCGTGGGAGACCTGCTGTAGAGCCTGGATGGGGAGACGTTCCAGAGCTCTGGTCTTTCAGCTGGTGTTTGAAGCAGGAGACAGTCTCATGCAACTGAGACCTCCGCTGGTGGGCACCAACACTACCTCCAGGTGGAGAGCATCGGAACTAGAGGACCGCGGGCCTCGCTGCCGACCGGCTGTCTCCCTTGGTGCTCACATTTCTGTGTTGTGAGAGTGCACTCAGAGAAACTGGTTTTGTTTTTCTTCTCTATCCTCAAATCTGCCTTTCTAGAAAAACAAGAAAATT